GCACTCCAGCCTGGGCAACAGAGCGAGACCCTGTCTCAAAAGGGAAAAAAGTCCAACATGGTGAAACCCCATGTCTACTAAAAATACAAAAATTAGCCGGGCGTGGTGGCGGGCACCTGTAATCCCAGCTACTTGGGAGGCTGAGGCAGGAGAATCGCTTGAACTGGGGAGGTAGAGGTGGCAGTGAGCCGAGATTGTGCCACTGCGCTCCAGCCTGGATGACAGAGTGAGACTCCATCTCAAACAAACAAAAAACAAAAACAAAACAAAACTGTTGAGAGGAATTAAGGCTAGAATGACAGAGGAATGAAGAGGATACTCGGGGAAGACTGGGGATGCGCTGGGAGGGGCGTCCTGAGAAATGACGTGAATGAAGAGTAAGGTCCTGGACGGACAGCGCCACTTCGGGGGCTGGAGACAGAAGCCAGGGTCACCACCTGCAAGAAAGTCACCCATGGCAAGATGCTGGCACCCAGCGTCCCCCCAGGCCACAGTGGGCGCACAGACACTGCCTCACTGCGGCACCCAGCAACTGCCACTGCAGCATGGTTTCCCGTCCAGCCAAGATCCTTCAGTTAGGCTGAGACCCCCCCACTTAGACTAAGATACCAACTTCAGAGATGCTGAAATAGGCAGGAAAATACCCTGTGCCTCTCAGAACTGGTGACACGGGGAGATGCACCCCAAAGCTTCCAAGGTCTGCACTGCAGGAGGGGGTGCTGGGCTGGCCACAGAGCAGAGGGTGCCGGTGGGGCCGGGGGGAGGGGATTACGTGCTTACTTTGTGCAATTGAAAGCTCATAGACAAAGGATGTCGACGATGCCATCGCCCTTTATAATTAAGAAGATAATTTAATTACTGCGATTAAAACCTAAGCCTCCCACATGGGCTGGTTTTAGCAAAATACTTCTGGTTCTGCTGTTTCCCACACACAGACCTGGCAGCGGTTAAAGAGAGACACTGAGTCTCCGAAGTTTCATCTGAGGAGCCCATCTGGTTTGAAGTAGCGCGACAAGCAGGAAAGGGAACTGAATCAAAGGCACCAGTTGTGTTTTTTGAAATCCAGAAAGTGTGTGAGGTAGCACCAGGAAAAAGGTCTCATCCTGCCCTCCCTAGGGCTGGGTGCCACTATGCCAGGCTGGGGAGTCCTGTCCCCACCTGCTTCTTGGCCAGGCTCTGCAGGATGCTCCTTCGGGGGGTAAAGGAGCTTGGCAAAGAGGAGGGGCAGGACGGTGTTGATGCTCGCCGACCCTGTGCATGGGGCCTCATTGCAACCTACAGGGAGGAGAGAAGTCAGAAATGAACGTCCTAGTGCTCATGGCTGACATGGGCCTCCACCGTGCACAGAGAGTTTCTCTGCACAGGGCCGGGGTCGGCACCACAGCTGAAGGGGAAACTGAGGTACGGAGTCTCTGGAACACGGGCTGCATGCGCTCCCTGGTGCCCAGCTCCTGGTTGAGCTGCACTGCCACACCAGAGCCATCCCTTTCATCCTAGAAGCAGCTCCTCGCCCACCACTCTCCCTCCACCAGCGAGAGGTGAGGCTGCCTCTGCCCTCGGCAGCTGTGGCCACGTGGAATTCTCTGGTATGCGGGTGCTTTGATCTGCGGCACACCTGGAGATCAGGGCCTCAGCCTCACACAACTGTCATCGCAAGGATCCCACACACCCCATGGACTTCCCCAGCTGGAGGGTACACCGCAGGGTGGGGCCTGGAGCTTACCAGGCCAGGGTCTTGTCTCCCTCCGCAGTTCAAGGTGCCACCAAAGAGACTCACCTTGTCCCACAGCCAAGCCCCAGCGCGCTCCTGCCTCTTTGCCTCCAATGCTTTCCTGGGTGAGCGCGCATCATCCCTTTGACAAAGAGCACACGCTGTGGAGGGCAGCTGTGGTGGGCCCACGGTGGCTCTGGGCCTGGCCTTGTCCTCTGAAAACATGGAGCAGGCCTACTGCAGGATCGTCCACGCCCAGGTCCTGGGGTCCTGGGGTAATGGACCAGAGGGATGCAGTGGTGTAAACGGGGTGTGGACGGCCCCCACACCCGATTAGTCAAGAATGTATCTATTTCCTGCTTGTGCATCTGCTGTTGTTGGAGGGTTTTCAGGACTGAGGAGTCTGGAGGCCCTTCTGGTCTCTTGTCCTCCTGAGTCCTGGCAGCTGGACGTCTGGAGCCAGGCTAGGGGAGGGGAACGGGGCCTCCGGACCAGCTGGGGAGCCCGGAGGAGGATGCTCAGGGGAGCCCAACAGCTGAGGGGAAGCCTATGGAGGAACAGTGGTGGGACGAGCCCCGTTTTCCACGCCCCGCACTGCCCAGCACAGCGGCTCAAGGAAGGGGTAGGGCAGGTGTGCCGGACGAGGAACCTAAAATGGGGAACAAGAACGACGGGAAGGAAGGACGGTCACTGTGAGTCCCAGAGCTCAGCTAGGACAAATCACCGTAGGCCCAGTGGCTTATAAACAATGGACATTTATTTCTCCCAGTTCTGGAGGCTGGAGATCTCTGAGCAGGGTAGCCGTCAGCTAACGGGAGTTCATGAGTGCTCTGCCCTTGTGACCTAATTGCCCCTAAAGACTCCACCTCCCGACACCATCACCTTGGGGGTGAACACTCAGATCACAGCTCTCACAGAGGAAGCTGCTGGAAGCCCGGCCTTAGGGCAGCTGCCCAGGTGAATGTCAGCTCCACAGGAATGGTAGTGGCTGTGGCATGGGCCAGACAGCACTGGCAGCCGGCAGGCAGTCACTGAGCACTGGCTGAGGTCTGACAGCATGACGGTGAGCAGTGGCATGCTCGGGCCCTGCAAACACACAGCCAGCGGAAGCTGCTGCCCAGATGCTGGCCTGCGAGCTCTCATTTACGAGAAGTTCTCAGATGCACAAACTCATGTGTGGGGGTGGAGGGGAGGAAACCCACGCCCCTGGGGGCTGTTGCTCAGCCTGGGAGCGCCCTCAGCAGCAACAGTGTCAGTTTGGTGACCCATAGCCTGTGAGCCACAGAGCACCTGGAATGGGGCCAGTGAGGACCTGAACATTAAACGAATCCTAGCTTATTAGAGTGTATGGCTGAGCGAGATGGCTCATGTCTATAAGCCCAGCACTTTGGGAGGCCAAGGCGGGCCTCAGGGATCACCTGACGTCAGGGATCACCTGAGGTCAGGAATTCGAGACCAGCCTGGCCAACATGGTGAAACCCTGTCTCTACTAAAAATACAAAAATTAGCCAGGCGTGGTGGCACATGCCTATAGTCCCAGCTACTCGGGAGGCTGAGGCAGGAGAAATCGCTTGAACCCGGGAGGCGGAGGTTGCAGTGAGCCAAGATCGAGGCACGACACTCCGGCCTGGGCAACAGAGTGAGACCCAATCAAAAAAAAAAAAAAAGGATGTGAACAGCCCCAGATGGCCAGTGGCGGCCTGCTGGATGCTGGGTGCTCTGTCTTGCCTAGCCATCGCAACAGCAGGGGCACGTGGACAGGCATGGAGCCGCACACCCCAGGTTCTTGCGCATGCTGTGGGTCCCACTCTCACTTACAAACACTGGGTTTCTCTTCGTTCAGGGGTGAGCTTCTCCCTTTAGCTTTGAACAAAACCAAGGCGGGGTTCTCTCTAATGGCAACCCCTCAGCACACCCTGGATGTGGACTGTGGAATGGCTGCTTTCCGACAGCAGGAGAGGGAGGCCCTCTGCAGGGCAAAGCCCCACCCACTGTGGGGCACACGGGTAATGGCTGCCGAAGCTTGCTTATGCAGGTAGGGATCAGCACTCAGGAACAGGAATCCACAGCCGCACCCCGCCACACACACAACAGTGCATCTCTGAAATGGTGCTCATGGAGTCTGCAGGCCACTGGGGCGGCTGCTGCAGAAGTCTTCACACTCTGATGCTAAATGTCCTTTGAGGCTTTGGGTAGTCCATGGAGACCCCTCCCACCCTAGACGGGCCTCTGGGAATGGTTCCTACCCTTCAATTACTAAGACCCCCGCCAGGGCAAACGAGTACAGGAAGAACAGGTCCAGTCGGGGGTGGACATCTGGAAACTCCTGGCTGTGCCCTCGAGGAGGTGGCACCCAGGCTGCCACTGCCACACGAGGTGATGAGCCGGGTGGCCTAGAAGGCAGAGGTTGCCACAAACACGCTGAGACAGGCACAGGAGGTGGGGGACAGAGCCTCAGCCACGTGCACTTCCCGTTCATTTTGTGTCCAAGTCAGCAGCCTTGGCGCTCACCGGCTGTCAGCCCTTCCTGCTTGCGCTCAGGAAGGGAGGGATCAAAGAGTTCCTCCCCGCCCCATCCCTGGTGTTGAGTTAATGGGGAAAGGTCCCTTGGCCACCTGGCCTGGGAAAAATGCTTCACACACAGGTCTCAAGATGACTCATGGCCACGGTCATTGTGCCCCCTGGCCAGGTCACTCCGTAGGGACACTCACAGCAAATAAAGTCAATAAGCAGGGAACGCTGGGCCTGGGCTAGGCCAGCAGGGGAAATGCTAGCAGAACAGAGCTGCCTGTTTTTGTCTTTCCGTGATCCCATCCCGGTCAGGGGCTTCTCCCCTCCCAGCAGCGACCGGCAGTGTCTGTCATGACCCTTCTTCCCAACTTCCCTGGGAAAGCACAAGCATCTGTCCCGAAAACAGGCCAGGGCACAGGCCCAGGTCCCAGAATAGGGACAACTGCAGGTGTGAGGAATCTAAGTAAAAAAGCAGGATGCACACCTGGGCAGTACTGCCAGCCCTGGGGAGATTGTGATGAGTCGGGGCGGTGGGAAGGTGGGGGTAGTGCGCAATCCTGGCGGGAGGGGCTTCGGGGGAGGGGAGGGGCAGTGAGAGCCCCGAGAGGGCGGGGAGAGGGGAGGGGGCGGGGCGGGCGCTGCGGGACCAGGACCGACCTACCGTCTGCGGGGATTGGGGCTAGGGAGACCCTGAGAGACCCAACTCGCCCCGGACTCGCTGTCCCGGAGATCCTCAACGCGATCTAACTGGGCGCAAATAAATGGACACGCAAGCAGCTTCCAAAAGAGGCGAAACCGTTTATCAAGTCGGCGCCGGCGCGGTATCTACAGTATCTACAGTATCTACACGTATCTACACCGCCTGCAGGCGGGGCTCTCGGGTTGTCTACACTGCAACTGCCGGCCGGGCCGCGGGCGACGCGGTCTCGGGGAGAACAATAAATATCACTTCCTTCCGCCTCCGACCGGGCGCTTTGGCACTGGCGGGCGGGGACCCCGTGGCCCTCGGGGCCGGGGAAGGACCCGCGGTGGCTTCAGGGACTGGGGAACCGGATACTTCTATAGCCCAAGGGGCTGGGGGGTAGCGATGGGGCCCCTATGGCTTCGAAGCTGGGGAAGGGGAGAGCCGCGGTGGCCCCTGGGGCTGGGGGAACGTGTTCCTTGATGGCCCTTGGGGCAGGGTGGCCGGGCCCCGCGGCCCTGGGGGCTGTGCGGGGCCGGGCGGGGCCCGCGTTATCTGGGGCAGTAGTCGTAGGAGCCGGGCGGCGCGGCTCCCGCCGACGAGTACATGTTGGCGGCCGCGGCGGCTGCGGCGGCAGCGGCGGCGGCGGCGGCGGCGGCCGGACTCACGGGGTGGTGGTGGTGATGCGGGTGCGCGTGCGGGTGGTAGCCGTGGCCGCGCAGGCCGGGCAGCGGGTAGGGCGCCGGCCGGCTCTTGGCCCCGAGGTAGTGGTCGTAGGCGGCGGCCGGGTACTTGTAGGGGTGGTGGTGCAGCGGCTCCGATGCGCCGGGCGCCTCCAGGCGCAGCTCGGGGTGCGGGGGGCTGGGCCGGCCTCCGGGCGCGCCAGGCAGCGGGACGAGGCCGCCGGCACCGCCGGCCCCGGACAGCGCGGGGCTTAGCACCCGGGCCAGCAGCTGCGGAGGGTGCGCCGGGTCCCCGAGCACGGCCGGCCCGCCCGCGTCGCGCTCGAATTCTCGCCGGGCCTCAGCCGCGTCTGCGGGAGGGCCGAGGGGTGAGCGCTGCCGGCCGGGGCTGCCGAGGAGCTGCGCCGCCCCACGCGAGGTCCCGCCGGGGAGAAGGCGCTCGGCCGCACTCGGCGTTCCCCGACCCGTCGGTGCGAGCCTGCTCGAGACCCCGCGCCGGCGGCGCCCCAAGCCCTCCCCGGGGCCCGCGCCCCTCTGCGGGCGGCGGCGGCAGCGGGCGGGGCGCAGCCGTCGGGCCGGGCGGGCGAGTGCGCGCTTGCCCGCCGCCGCGGCCGTTGTGCAACCGGCGCGAAAGCCTGGAGCGTCCCGGGGGCGCAGGCGAAGTCTGGCGAGGCCGCCGGCCCGGGGTGGGGCGCGCACAGGGCTGCGACCCGGGTCCCACAACCCCGGCCCTACCTTTTTCCGCCCCGCTGGGCTGCGTTGGAGAGGCCACGGGGTTCCGCGAGCGCGCGAAGGCGCTCATGAGCGGCAGCGCGCCGGGCCGGTGGTTCCGCGGCCTGCGGGTGGGAGGCGGGTCAGGGCGGCGCCCGCAGCAGGCGCCCGGCGCTCAGTCTCTCGGGAGGATACTCACCAGTCCTCAGGGTCGCAGTCCCGGAAGCCTTTGGCAAAGGGATTGCTGGCAATCTTGAGCTGCGTGATCTGCGGGGAGGGGGGTGTGAGCAAGCCGCTGGAGCCCCGCAGCCCCGGCCGCCCGACCTCGGCGGAGGACACGGAAGTGTTGGGAGAAGCGCACCAAGGGAGGGCCTCTGCCGCCCCGACAGGAACCGGCCCACGTCTGCCCCTCCCCTACAGAGCTCGGGGCTCCCTCCTGCAGGGGAGTACAGGGGTCTGAGAAACCTCCTCTCTCACTAGGGAACCCCTTTCTGGTGTCCCCAAGTGGATGGGGATGGAGACTCAGCTCCTGGCTGGGATGGGAATGTGGTCACCCCCACCACCCACGAGTAGTAGGGGGTGGGGAGGGGGACAGAGCGGGTGCCCTAGGAATCTGGGTAAACCTCAGCTCAGTCCCCTGATGGGGAGTTTCCTGAATGGTTTGGAAAACAAACTTTCAGGACGAAGTGACAGTTGCCGCTGGAGAGGTCAAGCTGACAGGAGGCTGGGCCAGCCAGCCTCGGGAGGGAGGGGCTGCTTGAGGCCCTTGGAAGTGGGGCTCCTGGTTGGGGCTCCACTGGGACCACAGCCTGCAGGTCTAAGTGGACCCACTGTCCCCTGGCAGCAACTGAAAATGACACCCGCTTTCCCAGAGGCGTTGAATCCGCCCAGGTCCTCCCCGCAGGTCCTCACCCGATGGTTCTGGTAGGCAGTGACCGCCGTGAATCGGGTCTCCTCGAACACAAAGGTTTTGAAGTTCTCCTCGGCGTACTTCTCGCTATCTTTGCGCGGGTCGACATAGACAACATGGAAGCGGGGCTGGTATCTGTGCATGGAATTCAGAATAATCTGGAAGACAAGGTGGGGAATCAGCTCCAGCGGTGGGGCTGGGCTGAGGATCTGGGGTGGGAGCCAGGAAACGGCTGAGGTCTGAGTTGGCAATGAGTTTCCTGGATAAGTTGGGCAAAACCCTTAATTCCAAGATGAGGCTGGACCACGGGGCCAAGAGGAGGCTGTGACCCACTGGCGATCGCCAGGAATGAATTCAAGTGGCAAAAGATCCGGGTTTAGGTTTCTTTCCTTAGGTGCCTACTCAGCGGCCTCGCTGGTCTGGACTCCATAAAGCCTCTTTCCCCAGCCTCCTTCCATTAAAAAAGCCTCCTGCATAAAATCAGGAGGGGCTGAGAAAAGGAGGGCAACCCTTTTCCCAGGGCCCAGGCCCACAGGGCTGTGCGACCCCTGACCAGAGGCTGCTCTCCTCATCTGCACCCCAGTGCTGCCCAAGCTCCGCCTCAGTCTCTGGCCTCACAGGGACTCTAAAAGGCCTCCTTGGGGACAACCCGCAGCCTGCTGGGGACAGGCAGGTGCCTAGGGACTCTAGAGGCCCCTCTGGGACAGGCAGGTGCCTGGGGACTGGAGAGGCCTTGCAGGACAGCCAGAGCATGGGGAGGCGGTCGCTCACGTGGCCGTTGTCGTCCAGCAGGTTGTTGGTCAGCTTGAGCTTGTCGAAGGACACGATTTGCTTCATCCACTGCGCTCCCTTGGCAGGCGAGTCAGGGTGGTAGTGCACGCGGCCTGGCGTGGCAGGGTCGGCCTTCCCCGCCACCAGCCAGGAGGAGCTGTGGAAGGCGTACCTGGAGCGGCATGGGGTGGGGTTGTGCATGCGGAGGGGAATCCGGAGGGCCTTGACCTGTGTGCTGGGCGAACCCTAACAGTGCCTCTGAGGGGTTTCCCCGCCGGTGAGATGGAACCCTGTGCTGCCACATGGGCTGGGGGCTTTTCTGAAGGGGACTGTGGACTAAACAGACAACTCCCACCCACCCCAACCCTCAAAACAGGTAACTGGACACCCTGTGGGGCACCGAGGGGGGAGGCTGGGCTTCTGCCATCTCATTTCGCTGCATGCGGGTCCGCCTGCCCGGTGCTCCGGGCGGTGGGAGCCCACACTTGGCATTGCTGGCGGCCTGGGGCACAGGGCAGCGCGCAGCGCGTTCTCTTTATTAATTGCTGTTAATTGTCCGGGCGGCTGAGGCCCGCCCTGCATAATCTCTCCGGGCCACCCCACCTTTCCGGCCCAGCTCCAGGACCCAGAGTTCACTGGGGATGGGGGAAGGGGACTAGGCACTCAGGCTGGCCTCCTGGGAGAGGGAGAGGGAGACTTGAAGAAGTCCAGGGCTGAAGACTTGGCTGACCAGCCTAGGGCCACGCAAGCCCAGGGGCGCAAGAGCTGTCTGGAGCCTGTGGGAGCCGGTTCAGAGAGCTCACGGGGTGGGGTTGTGGGTCGGGTCAGATGGGAGTGGAGGAGGGAGCAGGTTGAGAGGTCGGCTGAGCAGCAAGGCAGGTGCCTAAAGAGTTCCATGGTGCAAATACCTGGGAGTTGGGTCAGCAGGCAGAGACCCACCACTTCCCAGGGTGCCCTCCCAGGTCCCGCACGCTCACCGGTAGCGCTTATCGTCCACCGGCACAAAGTCCATGAGCAGCATATAATCGGCCATGGGATCCATGCCGAACAGCTTCACTTGGAAGGTGGGGAACATCCGCCTGGGGGTGATGAGGCCTCGGGTCACCCTAGCTGGTGGAAAGCAGCTCCCACTTGACCCACCCGGGCTGGCAGCCCCTCTGATCCGCCCTTCCCTCCAGCCTCTGGGGGCTGCTGTGTCATCCCGTCCTTGGGCTCCATCTCTCCCGGCTTAGCTGCTCTAATCTAGGCAGGCCCCCACTCAGCTGGGAGTTTGGCGCGGCAGGGAGCCTCCTGGGCCCTTCCTGGACACAGAAATGGCCGGCCCAGCGCTGGAGCCCCCACCTTCGGCAACCTCGGCCACATAAACCGGGCCTCGTCGCCTTTGCCGACTTTTTGGCCTCCAGGCCCTGGCCTCCACCGGTGTCAGGGTGCCTAACATGCGACCTTAGCAGAGCCTCCGGAGCTTGATCGAAGCAGCTCCCGGCTCCAACAAAGTGAAACCGGGTATCCGTGTGATTTCGAGGCGTCACCCGCTGCCCTTTTAGCTGGGTCTTCGCCTGCTTCCCAATCCCCTCATCGAGGCGAGGACTCAGAGCCCTCACTCCCCTGACTCTCAGGCCCTGGCCCCATGACAGAGTCTCCCCACCTTCCTCAGGCAAGCTTCCACTCCCCTTAAGATACACAACCCCAAGACGCAGCTACCCAGGGTGGACTTGGCTGTGTCCTCTCTGTTCCTCAAATCTCTCCCGCTTTGGACCCTGGCTCAGTGACCGATTAGGGCTCTTGAAAGGACATTCTGCAGTGCCTGGACGGGTGGAGGCCGTGGGCCGTCCCCACATGATGGCGCAGCAGTAGTGGCCGAAGGGGCCCTTCAGGACAACGCAGGGCTTGGCCGTCACTTGCCCTCCCCACTGCCTCCCCTCACAAGCAACTCCAGAAGGCGGTGGGCAGAAGACAGACGCCAGGAGCCAGCCTCTAGGACGGGCCTGCTCCCTCCCCCGCCCGAAGCCTCTGCAGGCTGGAGGGTGCTGTGGAACGTGGGCTGCTGGTGAAGCCCAGCGCAGACAAGGCCCTTGCCGGGTTGGCCTGAACCAGAGGCTGGGCTGCCGCTGTCCTCAGGAGGGCCTGTGTGCCTGGGGACAGCAAGGAGGGCCTGGAAAAAATCCACAGAGCTGGAGCAGAGCACAGGCCCAGGCCCGGGTTCCTGAGGAAGGACGCCGGCGGCGGGGAAACAGAAACCACGAGAAGGCTTTGCAAACAGGCCCTGAGCTCCCCTTGGCTGTTCGGACACGGAGCTGGTGTGTACATTAGACACAGCCCGGCACCCGCCTTTGTCTACTGGTCAAATCGGGTGCATCGGCAAAACTTGTTCCCCTTCTCTCTTGGTCTTTTAAAACAAATACGGGCCAGTTGGGAGGTGGCGGCGGCTGGCCGCAGAGTCAGGCCCCATAACTATGGGGATCTAGGCTGGAGGAAACTGGGTAGCGACTTCCACCGAACAGAGCACTCTGTTTTTAAGGGCAATCCTCCCCTGAGTGTCCAGACAGTTGCCCAGCTTCTGCTCTTTATCTTGCCCGCATGGACTGAACTCCAGAACCGAACCAGAGTTTCCTTGAGGTGGAAAACCTAGGGGACAGCCCGGCAGCGAGGCTCCCTGGACGTCGCTGCCTGCCCCAAGCCGGGTGCGCTCCAAGTCGGCCCGTTTCTGGGCTGCACGGCGTCCTGGGGCTGCGGGGCGGGCGGGCGAATCCCGCGGGGCTCCCGGCGGTTCCCGTGCGGCCCGCGCCTTCTCCTCCCGCCCCGGCGGAGGATAGGTGAGTGTTAGGAAGGGAGCACCGGGCGGCTGTCGCCGGAGCCGGGACCGCGGAGAACGAAGGAGGCAGCGGGGCCCAGAGGGGCCCACAGGTAGCCGGGCCGCGCCCCCGACCCTGCTTTCGGCCCCGCTCGCGCGGATGCGGCGGAGGCCCGCGGCCCAGGCGGCAGCACGTGGGGAGGGTCGCGGTGTGGGGAGGGGCGCCCTGACCTGCCGGCCTTGGTGACGATCATCTCCGTGCCCAGCTGGTTGAACTCGTCCCACAGCGCCTTCATCTCCAGCTGCACGCTCACACCGGCCACCTTCGCGTTCTTCTTCACCGGCGCCTTGGCGGCGGCCGCGCAGCTGGCCCCGGGGCCCTCGGGCTCGGCGGCGGCGCTGGTGGCGACCCCGGCGGCCGGCGCGAACGGGTAGGCGTGCGGCGGCGGCGGGCCCGGGACGCCGGGGGCCGTGGCGGCGCACGGGTCGTAGCGCGGCGGCGGCGGCGGGGGCTCGCGCGGGCCGTACGGGTCGGCGCCGGGCGACGCGGCGCCCGGGAAGCCCCCCGCGGCCCCCAGGCTGCTCAGGCTGCTGGCCGTGAAGGCTGCAACGTCGCAGAAGTGCGAGAGCTGCGTGAGCCACGGGCTGGACACGGCGGAGATCATGACCCGCGGGCCGCCGCCGCCGCCCCCGCCGCCGAGCTGAGCGCTGCCCCGCGCCGCGGGCCGAGTGGCGGGCGCCGCGCTGCGTGCGCC